AAAAAACTCCCGAGAGGAGGTAGGAGGAGGTTACAAACCTATTTTTGATTTGCGGTCCAGCCCTTGTTGTGTTGATGGTCATGCAAATGCCTGAATCTTGGATAGAAAATCCTGACGCGTGTATATATTGCTTAACTGATTATTCGGTTTGTCATAAATATATATATATGTGTGTGTGTTATATTTTTTATATATATAGATAGAGAATATTTTATATATATATTTTTTTGTCAGAACCTACTATTGGATTATAAAAGCACAGGATATTGCATTACTCAGATCAGGAAGGGAGTGCTGGAAAAGGGTCTCCATGCACATGGACATGCTTTCAAAGTTGTGGTTGAAAAAGTTCACCTTTTTTTGCGGGTCCCGAAAAATGCCCCTCGTCTTGGCCGAGTGGGACCCTGTCTGGGGAAAACCATGCTATCTGTTCAGAAGGCAGCTGTCTCTCCAGTTGGGTGGGGTGGGGGAGAACCCCAAAAGAGGTGAAAGGGAAGAAGGTGACTTTGTGTTTGTGTGTGTGTACACGCACGCACGCAGTTTTGCCATGGAGGAACGACAGTTTCCCGCCCAGCCACGGCTCCTGATGGCTCAAAGGGAATGTATAGGTAGGTCTGTAGATGTCTTCCCTTGGTTCTTCAAGGGAAGTCCAAGGGTCCATGAACCTGGTTCCTTCTCCAGAAGTTACTTCATCCCGCTTCTCAGAACCTGGTTGGCCGCGATGAGCATGACGCTGATGATAAACGCAATGGCGAAGGCGCAGATGAGGCTTTTCCGGACGCACGTCTGCCTGATCTGTTGGTTCGAGCATGCTGAGGAGGAAGTGGAAAGAGAGGAGGAGAACGGGGCAAGGCCGTGATGAAGAGGAGAAAGAGAGAGAGAGAGAGGAGAGAGAGAGGAGAAAGAGAAACGGAGGGAAAGATGGGCAAGAGGAAGAAAGAAGAAGAGATTATCAGAGTGCTTCTCGGCATTGACCACTCTGTTGCTGAAATCGTACTTCCTGAAATCAAGTTTGGAGTGGTTTCGAAGCTCCTTTGGGGCTTTTGATGAGCAGGATGTCAGCCTTGGAAGCCATATTTTTACTTGGAAGCTCCGAGGCTGCCACATTGAGTGCCTGGGAATTTGGGAGGGGGGATTTCATAGTGAGGTAGAAGATTGGACGCAACAACTTTTTCTCAGAGAGTCAAGGACAAGTTGCCCTGCACCTGGAGGGGAGTGATTGGGAGAATGCCTCCAGTTGGGATGAAGATTTGGTTGGGCCATGTGATGGGCTGATGGGTTCAGGGGATGGATCTTGGATTTCTCTTTTGGGAAGGGAAAACCTGGAACTCTCAGATTCTGGTTTTCCCAGACGTGCCAAGATGACAACTCTTAATAAAACAGAACTTTGAGGAATTGTTTGTCTCGGAATTTATTGGTTAGGAGTTGGTTAGTTGGAACGCTGACACCCCCAATGATCTGAGCCCCAAGACCAAGTTCACTTACTTTCCACATCAACTGGACACTCCTCTGCGTTCCCCATGTGACTTTCCTCCTCCGTCATGATGATGTTTTCAATGTCCTTCATGGAAAGGTGCTCACAGAAGGTGTCGTACAGCAGCCGTTTCAGTTCATCTACCGTCAGCTTCTGCATGTCGCACTGCAGAGGGAAGGAAGGGTATTGCACAACGTCCGATGCCGTAAGCGAGCTTGATGTTGAGGAGGCATGTGCCAAAAATATTGGATGGAGAATGTTAGGAATCTGTCCACCAATTAGTTGGGTTGGCAATATATAAACCAACAATGTATGTTTGTAGCTTTAAGACAAAGTTACTGCATTGATTTGTACTATGTTCCGATTGGTTGATTGTATTGTGAATTGCCACAAGAGGGAGCTAGAGATCATGGCTTGCTCTCTCTGACATTCTGTTTCTCTGACATTCTGTTGCTATCTAAGGTTCTCTGCTGTGCTTAAACTTTGATATCTTTGTTTACTGTAAATGACAAAGGCAACCGGTAAGAAGATTTTGTAATTGGATATTCTTTAGACTGTTAAACGTATATGACCTGGACCATTTATTGGAATCTGCTATTTCTTAAAGTAAACTTTAACTCAATTCAGTGTAGCTGTGTGTGGCTAAATAATTATTCATAACTACTCTCATAAACGTTTCCATGTGTGTATCCTTGTTACTCAAGGATTATTCTGTACATATCATAACAGAGAACCTGTCTGGATTTTTTTTTTCTTGGTGAGCCTTTTACACTACAAATCCTGACTCTCTAATCCTTCAGAGAAGCTATGTAGATATGGAATGGATGGGTTCATGGTGCTGCAAGCTCAGAGAACATCAAGAACCCAATGTCTTCACTCTTTGGTCCTTCAGAGAAGCTATCTAGGTATGGAATGGATGGGTTCATTGTATTCCAGGTTAAAGAACATTGAGAACCCAACATCTTCATTTTTTGGTCCTTCAGAGAAGGTATCTAGATATGGAAGGATGAGTTCATGGTATTGCAAGATCAGAGAACATCAAGAACCCAACAGCTACACTCTTTGGTCCTTCAAAGAAGCTATCTAGATATGGAGTGGATGGATTCATGGTATTTCAAACTCAGAGAACATCAAGAACCCAACATCTTCAGTCCTCCATTTCCTCCTAATTATTGAACAAAATTTTCTTAGATGAGAAACGAAATGCTTCCAAAGAAAACACCAAGAAAAATCCCATTGCCTTTTTGGGAGGAGAAAAAAAAACACTTTTGGGACAACCACAACCTGGATGATTGAGACTCTCCATCTACCTTCAGGAAAAATGCAAAGAAAAAAAATCAAATATATCTAGAGTAGAACATCTGCAAGGAAATTAAGAAGATGGTCACAGAGATCTGGAATGGGGTCCCTCCTTACCTTCCAGAACACGGTGTCAAAATCAGCACCGTGAAATTTCTCGGGGATGCCAGATGTGGAAAGTTTGGGTCCAAGTAACGTCACAAACTCTTCAAAGTCCACTTGCCCATCGCCTAGAAACGAGAGGAGCAATGATAGGTGATCTGAAGGAAGCATCCAGTTGAAGAATCACTTGTTTGTGAAAGAGGAGAGGGGCAGTCCTTGTCTTTTGACAATTCATTTAGAGACCATTCAAAGTCACAACAGCTCTGGAAAAAAAAAAGGACTGACCACCACTCCTTGCTCTTATGACTATCACAGCATCCTCAGGGTCATGTGATCAAAATTTGGGTGCTTGGCCACTGGCATGTATTCATGGTGGTTGCAGTATCCATGGGAAAGAAAGAAAGAAAGAAAGAAAGAAAGAAAGAAAGAAAGAAAGAAAGAGAGAGAGAGAGAGAGAGAGAAAGAAAGAAAGAAAGAAGAAAGAAAGAAGAAAGAAAGAAAGAAAGAAAGAAAGAAAGAAAGAAAGAAAGAAAGAAAGAAAGAAAGAAAGGGAAGGAAGGAAGGAAGGAAGGAAGGAAGGAAGGAAGGAAGGAAGGAAGGAAGAAGGAAGGAAGGAAAAGATTTACAATGGCAGCATCTTGCCCCCAACAATCCTGGTCCTCATTTTACCGACCTCAGAAGAATGGAAGTCAACCTTGAGCAGGTCAGGATCGAACTCCTGGCAGTGGGCAGAGTCAGCTTGCAGTACTGCATTCTAACCATTGCACCACCATGACAGGAAGGAAGGAAGGAAGGAAGGGAGGAAGGAAAGAAGGAAAGAAGGAAAGGAAAGAAGGAAAGAAGGAAATGGAGGTTTCTTCAAACCATCATCTAGATATGTAGGACTATGACTTCCAACAATCCAGCCACCAGAGTCAGCCCAAAACTAGAGAATGAAGAAGTATTGGAGATGAAGAAGGTTGATGAGATAAGAAAAGTACGGCCCTCCTCGCCTCCCCTACCATCTCCAGACAACCTTACCGTCCATA